TTATTTCCCATTCAGCCTTGCATGCTGCCATAATGATAGTACATATAGAATGAAACATCCATAGTACACCCCCAAATGAATAGAACTATAACTAAAACTAAAACTTCTATGGTATAGCGAAGATTGAACCATCCTAAACTTAGAGCATCATAATACCTGGCAGCAACAACATCTGCTACTAATCCTCTCCCCCTCCCCCCCAAAAAAGCCTGTCGTGATTTGTTTGCAGAAAGCAGTTAACAATGGAAGTTAATCTGTTTGTTTTTCCTATTCATATGGTTGCTTAAAAGTAGGTGAGGACTCCCAAATGTCTAAATTCAGAAAGCCATAGTGGTTAGTGGTTAGTCCAATGTAGAGATCAAGAAATTGGGTTTGCATATTAAAATAAATTTCAAATCAAAGCTAATATTATCTATATAAATAAAAATGTAAATGTTCGTTTGTTCAAAATCTTAAATCTTCGAAAGTTCTTCACCGATTGCTTTGAAATTTTGACACAACGTTGCATTCGAATATGCGCGTGTTTTTATATACCTACTATTATATAGATGTCATACCTGTGACAGGTAAAAACAAAAAAGGGCCAATCTTTAGAATTGTGCGGTTTAGATCTAGACACGGATAGCTTCTCACATGGACAATTATATGTTGCGTGTTCTAGAGTCGGCAAACCAGACAATCTCTATATCTGCACAGACAATGGAACAACAAAAAATATTGTATACCCACAAGCATTGTGAAATTAAACATATTACAAATGTGCGCTTTCTCTTTTCTTTCTTTTCCATTTAACCAGACTGAGCCACAGCAACGTGTGGCCGGGTACAGCTAGTATATAATAAAACTGTTGGGCTTTCTTGGTGTAGTAGCCTGGCCTTTGATACAAAGAACTGAGACCAGAATGAAGATTCAGCTTTTTACTTGCAATTGAATTTATGCATAATAATTTGTTCCTGAACTTGTTTTAGAATTCTTAATAGCCATCTTTGTAATTTCATGCAGACACAGAGACAAAAATTAAACAGGCATCTGTATAAACCTTGCATCAGAAAAAAGATAGCGGTCCTTGTCTCTACAAATAGGTGTACATAATTATTTTTTGCTACTTGTATATTTCATTCAGTTTATTTGAGTGTTGAGCTCAAATTAAAGATCAGCTCTGAGTTCAGCATTCTCTTCTCTTTCTAATTTTGCCTAGCCAGATGCCCTAAGAAGCAAACAGTTATGCCATTGTATTCATGGTAATTTCCTGTGGCATCTGTTATTCCAATTCAAGTGAGATACATTAAGTAAGCAGGGTTAACTTATCTAGAGTGTAATAAAGGGACACAATCAGCTGCACAAACATCCAAAGGAATACAGCCATTGAATTTTCTGCCTTGTAATTTTTCAGTGATAACGAAATCTCCTTTTCACCTTAAAAATTACAAAGGGAACTCAAAATGTCTCCAGTGAAATGTCTGTTGATTATAACTCTCTCGTTCTCCTTGTACCACTAACTTTATAACTTCCTGTCCCACAAAAAAATTCAGAAATCGCTCGATTGCTTGCTTACTTTTCTGAGAAATGAGAGCTATAGCTATACAGATGAAATAAATGATTTTGAAATGTTGCAGGAAGTTCAGAAGCTACTTGACTCCTAGGAAAGACTGCTTCCAGTGGAGAGATAGCAAGTGACGTTAAAGGAAGATAGGGCTCTCAGAAAATGAACATCAGAATGTAGCAATAATAATAAAACCAGATTAGATTTGCACATAGAAAAAGCATGGTTCAATTTGCATCTGACATTGGCCTGGTTCTTGGTTATTTATAACAGAGGTCCCCAACCTTTTGGGCACCAGGGACCGGTTCCGTGGAGAAAGGTTTTTCCACGGACCAGAGAGTGTGCGGGTTTATGTGCTGCCTGCATCCCACGGATGGGGCTTTGCTTGTTTGTGCGAACCGGTTGCTGGCATGCCGTGGACTGGTACCGGTCCATGGACCAGGATTGGGGACCCCTGATTTATAAGAATAGTTGCTGTTCTTGGAGATACTATGAAGCTCCTCTGGTGGTGCCTACCATTACTCTCAATCACCAGGGCCAGAGTTGATGGAGATTGTAGTCCAGCAAATCTAGAGAAGTCCCATGAAAAATATCTGGTAGGTATGCAGACGTTAGCATTTTTCTTCTCTCTCAAGCAAGCAGGTCCTGGAACAGTCATTGTGTGCTCTGAAACTGTCAGCTCTTCTGCCCAATTTTTGAAAGAAACTACAGTAGACATGTTGTGAAATACATCATGTCAGGCTAAAGGGGGATATATGTGATTCCCCCTGCCCCAGAAATCTAGTGGGTTGAAAAAGATATTTCTGTTCATGTTCCTTGTATTTATTTAACTGTCTGCATTTTAACTGTTTGCATTTTAAAATTTTGCAAAACCTGATGACCAGCGAAGGGAAACAATTAACAAAACACAGGAAGCGATGCCCTTCTCAAACCATTTTAACTTTTTTAAGCACTGTTGTCTTCATTGTGCCTGTAGAAATCACTCAAACTCGAATGCAACTGCTACTCTGACATTTATATCCGGCAAGATGAAGAAAATCAATGGAACAGGGTAATAAATGGCTTCTAAATCAGGATGTCTTCTTTCCTTAATGGGTATTTAGTCTTCTCCTCCTAATAATGTGATTACAGGTAGTCTCATTTAGTGCCTGTCTTATATAGCAACTGTTTGCAGTTATGAGAGGGATGTAACTTTGTAACCAGTCCTCACATTTATGACCTTTGCAGGTCTGTAAAGCAAAGTTAAAGTAAGAAGGACAGTTGCAGTTTCACTTAGTAACCACTTTGTTCAATGACCGAGTTGCCTGCCCCAATTGTCGTCACTAAATGAAGTCTCCCTATACTTTACATCTGAAATATTTACTGTCAATTCTTAGTGGGTTTATTCTTCCCATATCTAGCTCTGAGGTGTTACACCCCTCAGTTAAGCATTATAGCGATCTTAAGGCATTGCTTTTGATGGAGAGAAAAGGACCTAAGATGGCGGCTATCGTGCCCTTCTTCCTTTGGAAAGAAATGGATTCCCTGCAGCTTCACTCTTCCTCCAAGCCTCACTTACCACCACTTTGGAAAGGTCGATGGGCGGCTCCTTGGGCTTCTCTGGTGCTAGTGTTGGTGGCGCTGGTGCTGTTTCCGGCACTTTGCTTTTACCTGCCAGGAATCCTGGCTTTGGCCCGGCTGGTTTAGCTGCTGGTTTGGCAGGTGGGGCTACCGGCCGCTTCACAGGGAAGTCCTTCTTGGGGGCCATGCTGCCGGGGGGTCTCCTTGCGAAAACAGAGCGGAGGCACAGTCAGCAGCAGGAGCAGCACGTGTAGGCGAAGTCCCCAGGCTCACGCTGTTTCTGTCTTGGGTCAGCTTAAATAGCTCTGTCGATACAATGATGTCAGCCCAAGAGGAATTGCTGGATACCGAGTGGGAATGCATCTAAAAATGGGAAGCTCAGTCCCCCTTCAGCAATGCTAGGTCCTCCCTTCATTCATGACGGAACAATCTCCAAAGGCTTTGCTACAGCTAAGCATCCTCTCTGAGCAGCCAGGCCTTGGCTCTGTCTGCGTGGCACCCAGCCAGCTAGCTCACTCAGCAAAACCTCTGGCTCTCTGCACCAGCCATACTGGCTGGCAGAAGGCAAACGGCAGTGAGGTGGGTGGGAGGGGGCTTCTACTTCAATGCAGTTGAGATGGATTAGTTGATATTCTATATAATGATAGTGTCTGTCCCAGTCCCAGTTGTCCCAGCTACCAAAGGCTTAATTATTCAAGAGGGATGCTGTGTCATTATTGTACTGAGCTCCCCTCCGCCCCAGTCTTCTGTCTTGGAGCCAAAATCATGGCTGCTCCTTTATCATGAAACAGAGGTGGGAAACAGTAGCAACATACGTAGCTAGAGAACATTTTAGAGTCCTTATTCCCTGATTAGCCCCATAAACATCATGTTCTCAGTTCTGCAGATTCAGGGACAGAAGTGAAGAAAAAGAACATTTGTTGGACTTGGATGGAAATAATTGGTGGATATTTGGACACAAATATATAATGAATATTTTACCAAAGCTAATCACATCACTTTTTTGCAGCCTAAGCACGGCATGCAGGAATATTTGCATGCAAATATTAGCCTAGGTGGAGATGCTGAAAAAAAATGGAGAATTCAGGAAGAGTGCTCAGCACAGACTGCATCTTTCTGAGATGTTGACCTCCATTCCTAAAACACTTTGTCTTCTTGTGAAAAGCTTTGACTGGGGCAGGGNATTGCTTCTCACATGGACAATTATATGTTGCGTGTTCTAGAGTCGGCAAACCAGACAATCTCTATATCTGCACAGACAATGGAACAACAAAAAATATTGTATACCCACAAGCATTGTGAAATTAAACATATTACAAACGTGCGCTTTCTCTTTTCTTTCTTTTCCATTTAACCAGACTGAGCCACAGCAACGTGTGGCCGGATACAGCTAGTATATAATAAAACTGTTGGGCTTTCTTGGTGTAATAGCCTGGCCTTTGATACAAAGAACTGAGACCAGAACGAAGATTCAGCTTTTTACTTGCAATTGAATTTATGCATAATAATTTGTTCCTGAACTTGTTTTAGAATTCTTAATAGCCATCTTTGTAATTTCATGCAGATACAGAGACAAAAATTAAACAGGTATCTGTATAAACCTTGCATCAGAAAAAAGATAGCGGTCCTTGTCTCTACAAATAGGTGTACATAATTATTTTTTACTACTTGTATATTTCATTCAGTTTATTTGAGTGTTGAGCTCAAATTAAAGATCAGCTCTGAGTTCAGCTTTCTCTTCTCTTTCTAATTTTGCCTAGCCAGATGCCCTAAGAAGCAAACAGTTATGCCATTGTATTCATGGTAATTTCCTGTGGCATCTGTTATTCCAATTCAAGTGAGATACATTAAGTAAGCAGGGTTAACTTATCTAGAGTGTAATAAAGGGACACAATCAGCTGCACAAACATCCAAAGGAATACAGCCATTGAATTTTCTGCCTTGTAATTTTTCAGTGATAACGAAATCTCTTTTTCACCTTAAAAATTACAAAGGGAACTCAAAATGTCTCCAGTGAAATGTCTGTTGATTATAACTCTCTCGTTCTCCTTGTACCACTAACTTTATAACTTCCTGTCCCACAAAAAAAAATCAGAAATTGCTCGATTGCTTGCTTACTTTTCTGAGAAATGAGAGCTATAGCTATACAGATGAAATAAATGATTTTGAAATGTTGCAGGAAGTTCAGAAGCTACTTGACTCCTAGGAAAGACCAAGCTGCTTCCAGTGGAGAGATAGCAAGTGAGGTTAAAGGAAGATAGGGCTCTCAGAAAATGAACATCAGAATGTAGCAATAATAATAAAACCAGATTAGATTTGCACATAGAAAAAGCATGGTTCAATTTGCACCTGACATTGGCCTGGTTCTTGGTTATTTATAACAGAGGTCCCCAACCTTTTGGGCACCAGGGACCGGTTCCGTGGAGAAAGGTTTTTCCGCGGACCGGAGAGTGTCTGGGTTTATGTGCTGCCTGCATCCCATGGATGGGGCTCTGCTTGTTTGTGCGAACCGGTTGCTGGCATGCCGTGGACCGGTACTGGTCCATGGACCAGGATTGGGGACCCCTGATTTATAAGAATAGTTGCTGTTCTTGGAGATACTATGAAGCTCCTCTGGTGGTGCCTACCATTACTCTCAATCACCAGGGCCAGAGTTGATGGAGATTGTAGTCCAGCAAATCTAGAGAAGTCCCATGAAAGATATCTGGTAGGTATGCAGACGTTAGCATTTTTCTTCTCTCTCAAGCAAGCAGGTCCTGGAACAGTCATTGTGTGCTCTGAAACTGTCAGCTCTTCTGCCCAATTTTTGAAAGAAACTACAGTAGACATGTTGTGAAATACATCATGTCAGGCTAAAGGGGGATATATGTGATTCCCCCTGCCCCAGAAATCTAGTGGGTTGAAAAAGATATTTCTGTTCATGTTCCTTATATTTATTTAACTGTCTGCATTTTAACTGTTTGCATTTTAAAATTTTGCAAAACCTGATGACCAGCGAAGGGAAACAATTAACAAAACACGGGAAGCGATGCCCTTCTCAAACCATTTTAACTTTTTTAAGCACTGTTGTCTTCATTGTGCCTGTAGAAATCACTCAAACTCGAATGCAACTGCTACTCTGACATTTATATCCGGCAAGATGAAGAAAATCAATGGAACAGGGTAATAAATGGCTTCTAAATCAGGATGTCTTCTTTCCTTAATGGGTATTTAGTCTTCTCCTAATAATGTGATTACAGGTAGTCTCATTTAGTGCCTGTCTTATATAGCAACTGTTTGCAGTTATGAGAGGGATGTAACTTTGTAACCAGTCCTCACATTTATGACCTTTGCAGGTCTGTAAAGCAAAGTTAAAGTAAGAAGGACAGTTGCAGTTTCACTTAGTAACCACTTTGTTCAATGACCGAGTTGCCTGCCCCAATTGTCGTCACTAAATGAAGTCTCCCTATACTTCACATTTGAAATATTTACTGTCAATTCTTAGTGGGTTTATTCTTCCCATATCTAGCTCTGAGGTGTTACACCCCTCAGTTAAGCATTATAGCGATCTTAAGGCATTGCTTTTGATGGAGAGAAAAGGACCTAAGATGGCGGCTATCGTGCCCTTCTTCCTTTGGAAAGAAATGGATTCCCTGCAGCTTCACTCTTCCTCCAAGCCTCACTTACCACCACTTTGGAAAGGTCGATGGGCGGCTCCTTGGGCTTCTCTGGTGCTAGTGTTGGTGGCGCTGGTGCTGTTTCCGGCACTTTGCTTTTACCTGCCAGGAATCCTGGCTTTGGCCCGGCTGGTTTAGCTGCTGGTTTGGCAGGTGGGGCTACCGGCCGCTTCACAGGGAAGTCCTTCTTGGGGGCCATGTTGCCGGGGGGTCTCCTTGCGAAAACAGAGCGGAGGCACAGTCAGCAGCAGGAGCAGCACGTGTAGGCGAAGTCCCCAGGCTCACGCTGTTTCTGTCCTGGGTCAGCTTAAATAGCTCTGTCGATACAATGATGTCAGCCCAAGAGGAATTGCTGGATACCGAGTGGGAATGCATCTAAAAATGGGAAGCTCAGTCCCCCTTCAGCAATGCTAGGTCCTCCCTTCATTCATGACGGAACAATCTCCAAAGGCTTTGCTACAGCTAAGCATCCTCTCTGAGCAGCCAGGCCTTGGCTCTGTCTGCGTGGCACCCAGCCAGCCAGCTCACTCAGCAAAACCTCTGGCTCTCTGCACCAACCATACTGGCTGGCAGAAGGCAAACGGCAGTGAGGTGGGTGGGAGGGGGCTTCTACTTCAATGCAGTTGGGATGGATTAGTTGATATTCTATATAATGATAGCGTCTGTCCCAGTCCCAGCTGTCCCAGCTACCAAAGGCTTAATTGTTCAAGAGGGATGCTGTGTCATTATTGTACTGAGCTCCCCTCCGCCCCAGTCTTCTGTCTTGGAGCCAAAATCATGGCTGCTCCTTTATCATGAAACAGAGGTGGGAAACAGTAGCAACATACGTAGCTAGAGAACATTTTAGAGTCCTTGTTCCCTGATTAGCCCCATAAACATCATGTTCTCAGTTCTGCAGATTCAGGGACAGAAGTGAAGAAAAAGAACATTTGTTGGACTTGGATGGAAATAATTGGTGGATATTTGGACACAAATATATAATGAATATTTTACCCAAGCTAATCACATCACTTTTTTGCAGCCTAAGCACGGCATGCAGGAATATTTGCATGCAAATATTAGCCTAGGTGGAGATGCTGAAAAAAAATGGAGAATTCAGGAAGAGTGCTCAGCACAGACTGCATCTTTCTGAGATGTTGACCTCCATTCCTAAAACACTTTGTCTTCTTGTGAAAAGCTTTGACTGGGGCAGGGCAAAGGAGATAATTTTACACAAATGGAAAGAAACTTATCCTCCTGATTTTAAGGAATGGATTTTAGAACTTTCAAAAGCTTAAAAATGAGAATGTGAAGAAACACATGTGGCAGTATACAATCTAAATATAACAACGAGCTTAAGGACTGTGTTTTATATCACTAGGAGAGGATATTATAGGGAAGTTTTATTTCTTTGTTTTCTGTTGCTAATTAACTCCTTTCCCATCTTTTTGTCACGTTTAGTTTGTTTTAATCATTATGTTATATCTAGGTTTTTTGGTTCATCATATAATTCCTATGTATTTATATATTTAGTCTCTGTTGACATGGAGAT